TTTCCCTGTGCCTGGCGGGAGGGGAGTGACCGAAACCAGCAAACCTCACACAAAGCCCTTTATCAGAAGGCCGCAGGGCTGGGCCAGGCTGCCCGCAGGGCCCTGGAGAGAGGCTCTGGTGGGGCACAGCCCCAGGCAGCTACTGCCAGCCTGTCGCCTCAGAACCAAGCTCTGCTGCGGCCTGCTGGGAGCGGACACAACGGGGGAAGGGGGTTCTAATCCCTAAGCTCTGCTCTGGGCCATCCAGGCCCCACAGGGGATCATGAGTGCAATTTCCTCATTGTCCTGGTCACCACCAAGGCCCAGAACAAAGTGACCAAGGCAGCCAGGGCGGCCTCCATTCCACGGCCGGCCGTAGAGGAAGACCCGGACTCAGACAGCTCATGGTGACACCTGGCTCCAGAGTCCGGGTCTGACAGGTTGAGGGCCCCAGCCCAAGCCCCAAGGCCTGCACCTGCGACACTGGAGGGGCTTTGCCAGACCTGGGTTCCCCCACCCCCACCCCGCAGGAGGCAGAGAGCTGCAGCCCCATTTCCCGCACATTCAAATCCAAACCACGCAAGGCCCGCTGTGCCTATCTTGAGGGGCAAAGAGCAAAGATAACACCCCACCCCACCAGGGCAGGTCACCATCAGATCTGCGGGGGTGGGCGAAGGTGGCAGGTGCACACCTGGTCTGGGAACAGAGCCTAGAGGGGTCTGGCAGCAGCCCTGAGCCCTGCGAATGTGGACACAAGAGCGAGCAGCACCTGAGTGCAGCAGCACCTGAAGGCGGCAGACTCGGCGAAACCCAGCCAGAGATTCGGGCGGGGGAGAGCGGGTGGGCTGAGTTGGGGGCATGGCGGTGGGGGGAGACTGCCCTCCCTTCTGGCCTGCAGCTTTCCACAGGGCAAGCACATCCACGGGAGGAATAGAGTGCGATGTTCTCGGGGTGCGGCCCAGACCCAGCCGCCCTACACTGCCCACGCCCACCCCCACTGGGCGGGGGAGGAGGGGAAGCCCAGGCCGCCAGCAAGAGGGTCAGGCTGAGCTGTGGAGGGTCACTCCACCCCAGAGTCCACCCCAGAGTCAGGGGTGCCGGGAGACGAGTAACAGTGTGCAAGTGACTTTTGCGGCATTAGCCAGAGCAGGCTCCCGGGGACCCGGGCTTGGCCACTGGCCGCTGGCTACAGGCCCACCCCAGCCCCGGATGGGAGGCCGGCGGGAAGGGCCCGACTCCCTGGCCGTGACTTGGAAGGAGACGGCTTCCTGCTGGCAACCTCTGCGGCCGCCCCGCTGGGCAATGGGAGAAACAGCTGCTGGGGACACCCGGGGCCTGCGTCTGGCCAGGAAGTGACTCGCTGTGAGCCAGCAGGACGAAGAGGAGGCGGTGGATATGCAAGGGAAAAGGGGCTTGGGGGCTGGGGGCAGGGGGCTCCAACTGGGAGGGAACTAGAGTCCAGGGCAAGAACCACCTGGACAGGGATGGCCCAGTGTTGTTCAGAGGCCGAACAAACGGAGCCGGGGTCCCTCTGGCCCAGTACCCGCAGCCTCTCAGCATCCCCACCTCACACTGTGGGGGACCAGCAGAGCCCAGGGGGCTGCACACTCCTGGTTTCCACCAGTCTCGCAGAGACTGCCTAAGGAGTGCCCCCCCCCCCCCCACCCCGCGTGTCTATCCCCTACCCGGCAACACTGAGCAACCTGTGGACAGGGCAAGCAGTTCTCCCTCTGTGCCTGCCAGTTCCCACAGGGAAAGAGGCTGATCTGTGCTCCCCTTCTGCCTGAGCTCACCTCTCCCAGCCCATGGACCTCAGGGCCTTTGTACCTCCTTCTTCCCTGACCTATTCTTGGTCCCATCTCCAAAAAAGTGCTCACATTCCCCTGCCTGCCTTCACTCCACTCTGCAGGGAGGCAGTAGCTCTGATTCTCTCCTGGACCAGCCCAGTCCTGGACCCCCTGAGGTCACAACACAGGAAGACCTCAGACACTCCCTTTGCAGCCTGGGTTCCTGGACATGCCCCTCCAGGAGGGGAGGGTCAGAGTTGTGGTCAGGCCCTAGGGATCCTAGAGGGCAGAGGTCAAAGTCCTCCCCAGCCTCTCCCCCATGCTTCCCTACCAGCCTGGGGGCAGGGGGCGGGCAGCTCCAGTGAAAGCAGTTTGCCCTGCACGGGCTGAACCAAGTTCGATTCTCAGCACCTCAGTACTGATCCCTGAGCACCAGGTTTGTCCCAAAAATGAAGAGGTGGGGAAAGTCTCTGGCTCCCCAAAACTGAGGAAATCAGTCATTTCCGCAAGACATTCTGGCACTTGGGAGAGAATCTTTGGGTGGCCTGGGGTGGTAAGGCCAGTCCCCTCTGAGTGTCATGCCCTAGAGCTGAGGGAACACGGCTGGAAGGGCTGACTGCCACTGCGCTGTGTGCTCGAATCCCGATGGGAAACCGGACCTGTGGCCACGGGGGACTGCCAGGGAGGCACCGCACAAAAGGGCAACTGGGCAGCAGGGCTGACCTCGGGCACTGGTCCGGAGGGCAAGAGCCACACCATAGACTCGGCTGTTCTCATGCTCCCATGTTCACAGCCACATCCTGCCACCAGCATCTTGGGGACCCGAGCCACAGAATTTGTGAGGGTCTCCAGGAGACTGCAGGCAGCCAGGGTCGGGGGGGGCTGGAGCTCTCAGGCAAGAACATTCGCAGGGAGTGAGACCCACAGGGACACTGGACACAGGCACGTGCTCGGTCTCCAGTGACACCAGCCAGGCACAGCTGCAGGGGTAGGTTCTCTATGATGGAGTATCAGAATCAAATCTGGCAGAGTGGTCACTGCCCACAACCCAGCGCTGGCCAGTGACCACCTCATCAGCTGGGGAAGAGGGTTTTCTCCCCTGGCAAAGGCCCCACCCACCAAATCTGCACCTAGAGGCTTGGCCAGCTGGCACCAGAGGGCTTTCACAGGGACTCAGCCATGTGTCCGCGCAGGGACCCACACGGTCCAGAGGAGCCACCCACCCGCCACAGGGACTGAGGTAGAAACTGAGGCTCAGGAAGGCCAGCCACTTGCCAGTTGTCACACAGCTGAGAGAGGGAGCGCTACGGGGCCCAGACACCCTGGCTCCAGCACATGTGCCCCCAACACTCCCCTGCTTCACCTCACTCACTGCTGCATAGATCCTGGGCAGTACCAGCCTGCCTGGGCTCCACGGCCCCACTTAGGCGGGCACTGAAGGGGTCTCACACTAACCATTCCCCGACCAGACGCCCACTCTCCATCCTTCCCCATCCTGAATCTTCAGGCGACCCTTTGGAAACCTGTCCAGGACGCCACCCCCACCCCCACCCCCACCCCCACCCCCAATCAGGATCTCAGTCCATCCACTCTCCTGACTTCCTGGCCAGGGACCTCCCATCACCCACCACAGGGCAATCACGGGATCACCGCAGGAGGCTGATTCCAGGCGGGTGCCAGAAGCCGGTGTCGTCCCAGGGTCAGTGCCCAGCAATGGCCAGTGACCGAGTCCCTTTCAAAGGTCAGGCAGGCTGTATGCCGGGTGGGGATTTCGGGCAGAAAAGTTCCCAAGAAACTCCTATCCACGTGGCACACAAATTCCAATGGGGAGGCAGCCCACCACCAGGCTGGGACAGGCAGGAGAAAACGCAGAGGCAGAGCAGAGGGAGGGAGGGAGGGAGGAGCAGGAGAGGGTGGGGAGCAGGATTCCAGGCAGGGGCCGTAGGAAGGTCACGGCTGGGGGGATGGGGCAGGGGCACCTGAAGGTGGGGGGGCTCAGTAACTGGGACCCCAGCGAACTCCAACCTGAACTCCAGCTCTCCCCCACAACCCCCCTCCCCACGGGAAACCCCTCCTCCCAGTTCCTGCCCTTCCAAGGAGTCCGTACCAACCAACCAACGGACAATCGGTCCTGCCCAGGGAGTGGCCTGGCCAGCCAGGCTGGGCTTCCAGGAACAGCGGCTGGTAAGAGGGGGCAGGAGCGCTGGCTGAACCGGCTCAGCCCAGGGCTGCCTTTCCGGGTGTCCCTAGAGTAGGAGAATCAGGGGCCCCTTCAAGACTGAGGTGGCAGTGCCATGCACCTGGCTGACCACAAAGAGGTGACCCAGTGGGGGTGGAGGGCGGGATCGGAGTGCGCAAGGGGGGGAGGGGGTGTGCTGAAACCCAGAATTCAAAGCCCAGCCCCACAACTTAAGATCACTGGGCAGTTTCACAGCACGAACCCAGAAGTCACAGCAGGGGGCATCTAAGGAGGGCTGGGCGCGCTTTAGGGGTGTCCACTGGACTCTGCACTGGGGAGGAAGCAAGCTCTCCTCCCCCCTCCCAATGTCCACTTCGGAACCCTGCCCAGCAGTAAGTCCCACCGGGGCTTTCATCTGAGCCCTGGTTTTGGGGGGCCACACCCGGCAGTGCCCCAGGAGGTACCTCCCCCGGGTGCTGGAGGGCCGTGGGGGGTCGGGGATCAAACCTAAAACTCTCTCTCCCTGACCCGGCTTTAATATTTAACCCTCGGGAACAACCTCAGACCCAGCCTCAGGTCTGACCTTTGCCCCCCTCGGCCACGCCCACGTTTGATCCCATAAAACTTGCCCCCCCACAGCTCAACCCCCTCCCCCCCACTCATCTGCTCCCCGGCTGGGGGGGTTCTCACCCCAGGGCTGTGACCTCACGTGGACGTCCCCGCCCCTCATCTGATTCACCAGAAACCCCCTTTCCTGGCGCTCCCGAGACACCCCCCGCCCCCGAAACGCGCCCCCACATCGAACTTCGAACTTTGCGCTCCCCTTCACCACGCCCCCCTTCGCCAGCACAACCTCTGACCTCCCCCCCAGCCCCGCCCTCCCCCTCAGACCGGAACCCCCCGCCGCACCTCCGACCCGACCCGACCCTCCGCGAGTGAACCTTGACCCCAGCGGCCCCGCCCCCTCGTCGCGCCGACGACCTCCCCCCCCCCCACCGCTACCGCCGCCCACCGCCCGGCGCGCCCCGACCCCTCGGGACAGACCCTCAGCCTACCGGCTCGGCGCCGCAGTCGCTCGCGGCCTGACTGCCCGGCTCGGAACGCGGCCTTCCGCGCCGCCTTCAGCCCCCTCGCGCCGCCGCCAGCGCGGCCACTGCCGCCGCCATGTTGAATCCCCAACGAACATCCGGGGCTTTCGCCCCCTCGCCGCCCGCCTGTCCCCATAGCAACGGTGCCGGCCGGGCGGGGGCGGGCCGCGGGGGCGGGGCGGGGCGCGCGCTCCGGCCGCCGATTGGTGCGGATCAGCCAATCGGAGCCCTTCCGAGGGAAAATGCCCAGCGGGGATTGGAAAATTTGGAAAAGAGGACTGGGAGGCCGGCTCTGGACACTCTCGGGTTCTTAAAGGAAAATGACGACTCCTCCTCCTAACGCCCACCTTTTCCCTGAAGGAGTCAGAGGGTGGAAGGCAGAAACGGGTCCTACGGGCCAAAAAAGGTCTTCCACGCGTTCACTGTTAGGCCAGACTTCCTGGCCAGGTGCTTTGCTTGCATTGTCTCCTGGATACTCTATTGTATCATTGATACCTATTTGGTATATAAACTGAGGCTCCAAGAAGCAACCCAATTGTCTCAGGATAGAAAAAAGTATATAATGAGTTTTGGGGGTTTTATTTGGGGGGGGGGCTGCTTTTTGGGTCACATCCAGCAATGCCCAGAAGTTACTCCCGGTGATGCTCAGAGATTGTTCCAGGCTCTGCACTCCTGGAATTACGCCTGGCAGTGCTCCAGGGGTCCATATGGAATACAGGGGATCAATCCCTAGTCAGCCACATGCGAGGCAAACGACCTACCTGCTGTACTACCGCTCTGGCCCCAGAAAGTATATGATGAGTTTTGAAGGATGGTTTGAGTCAGGAAAGTTGATCTAGAACCAAGATACCATTTGAACAAATTAATTATTTTTAGTGGTTTTATTTTATCCTTCATTTTGGGGAGGAGGGGGACACCAGGCAATGCTCTGGGCTTACTCCTGGCTCTGAGCTCAGGAATCACTCTTGGTGATGTTCAGGGGACCGTATGGGATGCCGAGGATCAAACCTAGGTCAGCAGGTGCAAGGCAAGTGCCCAAATTGCTGTACTATTGCTCTGGCCCCACATTTATGATTCTGAAATACAAAGTCGCTGCACCCTCACTAGCATCAGAGTGCCCCCCACCCTCCACCCAAGTTCTTATGTCACTTCTAGTCTGCCTCTTCCTTCCCCTCCACTCCCCATCCCCACTGTTGGTAATCTCAGTCTGGTAATTCAAGGTCAAGGGTTTGTCATTTAATAACGTCTTTCCCTTGTTTTGTTTCCCGTCAACCACAGATGAGTGAGATCATCCGGTATTTGTCCTCCTCCTCTTATTTTGCTCAACATGCCCTTCTGTAACATCGAAATGGCACTAAACTGCAAGATTTCATCTTTTCTTAGAGTTGAGTAAGATTTCATTGTGTATATATACCACAACTTCTTTATCCATTCATCTGCCTTTAATGGGCTTTTTATAGGTAACTTAATTATTCTTAGTTTGGAGGGGATGTTGGACCATACCTGGCAGTGCTCAGGGTTTACTTCTGGCTCTGAGCTCAGGGATCATTTCTGACAGTGCTCCAAAGATTTTATAATAGTGTTATAATAGTGTGGGGGGAGTGGGGGAAGGAGGCAAACCCAGATTGGCCACTTACCAGGAAAGTGCCTTTTTCCTGGCCACTGTTATGGGTTTTGTTTGCTTTTGTTTGGGTTGTTTTGTTTTGTTTTTGACTCTGCACTCAAGAATTATTCCTGGCGGAGCTTTCAGGAACCAGGATTGAACGGAATTGAACCTGATTTGACCACATGTAAGGCAACCACCCTACTTGCTGTACTGTCTCTGTAGCCCCTGTTTTTGAAAAGGAAGTAGCACAACAATCCTATAAAAATCTGACTTTTCCCACTTGAAGATCTTTGTACTTTGTTGTTCCTTCGGTCTGGAATATTTCTCTGCAGGGAGGTCCTCTCCTTCAAATGTCCCCTTATTAGTGAGACGGCATCCACCCTCCCAGCTACAACTGCAGACCTCCTTCACACATGCTACAAAGCCACTTCCCTTCTGGCTTCTCTTATCTGTCTCTGCTCTAACCACCTTGGCCCAGATTTGTAATCAGCACTCATGGGGCTTATGGTTTGGGGCTGTCTCTCCTGCTAAATGTCAGCTCCATGAGAACTTGAATTTCAGTGTATTTGCCTGGCGGTGCCCAGCCCCTGGCATTATTAGCATGTTGATGCTCAGTAAACATCTGTTAAACTGGATGCAGTGGAATTCTACCTCCTCCGAAATACTATTAAATGTTTAGGAGTTCCCTCTGTCTGGGCACAGTATCTACCACACAGTAGGCATTTAATTAATGTCTGCAACAGCAAATGAATGCATGGTTGCATGGTGAGTCATTTCTTTCCCTGTACATCTCTTGACCTTTTAAGAGAATGGAAAATATATTTATTTTTAAATGGCCTGGGGCCAAAGCAATAGGACAGTGGGTAAGGCACTTGCCTTGCACTCAGCTGACCTGGATACAATCCCTGGCACCCCATATGGTTCCCTGAGTCTGCCAGGAGTGATCCGTGAGGACTGCTGGGTGTGGCACCCCACCAAAATAAAATTACCCATCTTAGGCCAGACAGTATAAAGAGTAAAGCTCTTGTCTTTCATGCAGCCAACGTGGGTTCAATCCCTGGAACCCATACGGTTCCCTGAGCACTTTAAGGAGCAATTACTGAGCACAGAGTCAGGAATTAGCCCTGAGCACCACCAGGTGTGGTTCCAAAACAAAAACAAAAATTCTGTTTCTCTAGGCCAGGGATGCAGCTTACTCACAGAGCACTTTACCCTGCATGTGTGAGCACCTGGCTTCGATCCCCAGGGTGGAGGGAAAATTTGTTTCTCAGATGTAGGGACCACAGCCAGCAATGCTTACACATGGGTGCAGGTCAGGAATGCTGGAATCAGAGTTCAACTCCAGGATCTTGCTTATGCTAAGCATTGCTTTATCACTTGAACTATCTCCCCAGCCCCCCAGCACCAGCTGCACCACCAGTTTTTGTTCCATTGTGTTTTGGAGAATTACTTCATCATGCTCGGAGGTGCTCAGTAGATGCTTGATGTTGCAAGGCAGGGGGGTTCACTTTTGGTGGTGCTCGGATGAATGTGATGCCAGGATTAAACCCAGCCTCTTGAATGCAATGATGTCCTTTGAGCCATTTTCCCAGTCCAGTAATTTTTGGGGGGCCGAGAGGGTTGTGTGATACTGGACAGTACTTAGGGTTTACTCTTACTTTGCTCTCAGGCATCACTCTTGTCAGGGATCTGGGTACCATATGCAGTGCTTGGGATCAAACCAGGGTTGGCCATGTGCAAGGCAAGTGCCCAACCCATTGTATTATCTCTGGTGCCATCTTTTGAAAAAGGCAGTTACTAGAGGCAGAGCAGTAGAATAGCAGGGAAGGCACTTGCCTTGTATTTAGCTGACCTGGATTGGATCCCTGGCATCACATATGGTCCCTTGAGCCCCACCAGGAGTGAGTGCAAAGCAAGGAGTAATCCCTGAGCACTGACAGATGTGGTACACCCCTTACACTAAAAAAAGAAAAGAGAAAAAGTCAATTACAAGGGTCTGAGAGACACTACTGCAGGTAAGGCTCTTGCCTTGCATACAGCCAAACCTGGTTTGGTCCCTGGTACCACAGATAATCCCCTGAGCCCACCAGGTGTGATCCCTGAATGCAGAACCAGGTGTAAGCCCTGAGCACTGCCAGGTGTGACCCCCTAGAAACAAACAAACAAAAAAAAGAGAGCTACAGATTTATAAATATCATTGGCATCTTTCCATGTCATTAAATATTCTTCAAAAACATTCATTTAATAGCTGTGTAAGATGCCATCCTACCAATGAACTCTAATTTGTTTAACCACTCTTTCTTGTTGAACATCAAAACTTTGATAAATATTATGCCATTATAAATATTACCTCCCCCCTCAAAAAAATTTTCCAAGCTGCTAAGTACTGGCACGCATCGCTAATCATCTCCTTTGAATAGATTGCCCAGAAATGGAAGTGCTAGGTCAAAGGAAATGTACATCTTCAAGATTTAACCCTAGTAACAGTTCCCCAGATGCATCACACACAGAACTGAGCCGCGTAATTTTGACAAGGGCTGTGATTATCCCTGTTTCCCAGAGGAAGCTGAGGCTTAAAGAAGGAACTGAAATTACTCAGTCACAACGCTACCAAGTAGAAAGTCACACCGGCTTCCCCAGCCCTCACTTGAAGCTTGACTCCTGACCCTCTGCTGCCTCCCCGCGGTCGGGGCTGGGCATTGCCAGATTACTCTTCTACGGGCCACTGCCATTCAGAGGGAACGAGTCCTTACAGATTTCTCTCCAGCATCCAGTATCCTGCCAGCACAGCATCATCCTGTGCAATTTGGAAACCCATAGACATTATGGAAAACCTGGCTCTTAAAAAAACAAGACTTGTAGGGACCTTATAGATAGTATAGCGGAGAGGATCTTGCCTCGTATGCAGCTGAGCTGGGTTTGATCCTGGGCATCCCATATGGTACCCTGAGCATCACCAGGAGTGATTCCTGAGCACAGAGCCAGAAGTAAGCCCTGATCATCACTGGGAGTATCCCCAAAACAAAAATAAAACAAGCAAAAAACAAAAATCAAGGCTTATTACTGATATAACTAAAGTCACAGTGCTCAGAGGAGGCCAGACCAATCTCAGCTCTTAGGTGCCCTAACAGTTTTGCAGGGCGCTGAGACCTCTGTTGGGAATGGAGTAATGGTACAGTGGATAGGCTTTTGCTTTGCATGCAGCCGACCCGAATTTGATCCCCAGTACCCCGTATGGTACTCTGAGCAGCACCAGGAGTAATTTTTTTTCTTTTTGGGTCACACCTGGTGATTACGCAGGGGTTACTCCTGGCTCCTGTACTCAGGAGTTACTCCTGGCGGTGCTCAGGGGACCATATGGGATGCTGGGAATCAGGCCCGGGTTGGCCGCGTGCAAGGCAAACGCCCTACCTGTTGTGCTATCTCTCCAGCACTAGGAGTAATTCTTGAGTGCAGAGCCAGGAGTAATCACTGAGCATGACCGGGTGTGATCCAAAAAAGTTAAAAAAAAAAAAAGAGT